ATAAATATCAGCCTGACCTACATATTTCAAGAAAACTAGGAAAAGCGACTGCCTTTTAAACTCTGATGTCTTTTGATAATTCCAATCAATATTTTTGTCATAGTTATGACACCATTATCATGTGTATCATGTGAAAGAGACCAAAGTGCCGTTTTTCTTCAGCTATACTGTAACTTGAAAAAGTAGTCAGCTTCACTAGCTCTGCAGCAAAATACTTTCCAGAGCCATATTCCATGAATGACAACAGAGCAATATGTCAAACTTCTGTAGGTGAAGTTAAAAAAGTTTCTTTTTAGAAGAACTGTCACGGCTTCTGTTCCTCAGAGCCTTAATCTAAGCAACAACATATTTTCAAAAGAGCATGAAAAAAGTCAAACCCTAATCAAAACATTGTATTATCTTTCTTTTTCTTACTGCTCACTGGAATATGAAAACCCACTGTATCTCTGTAAGTCCCTTCAAAGGTGGTGTTTTAATCTCCAAGGTTACATTTTCTATGGAGGAGTGGTGAAACAAATGGGAACAGGCACTAAACACCCACAGACTCAGTGTGGACTTGGTGGCCAGCTGTCATTTTTTCCTCTTATCAGATCTATATTAACTAAATGCTGAACCACCAGAAATTCCAGTACAATAAAAGCATATGGATCACAGATGTGGGCAGACAAAGGATTTTTAGGAAGTAAAACAGCAGAAAGTAAAATGGTAGCTACCCAGGGTCAGAAAAATATCTGAAGTAGAGCCTTCTGATATGTGTCTAATTTTGCTGCTGTCAACAGAAATGCTTTATTCAAAACTGCTCCATACAATCTTACCAGAGAATTTCCACTATTTTTTAACCTTTAGTCCATTTATAAGCTGGATGCAATCCTTCTAAGCATTCATATGGCTTCCACCATCATGGGATTCAGCATTTTGGCACATCACTAGAATGGCAATGGATATAACAATTTTTCCCACATTAGAGAAAATCCATTCCCTGGAGAATCGTTTCTGTCTGTGGTTTGACGAAAGGCAGATCTTGCATCTTAAAGCTACATGCCTGTGTCTCACAAGGTTTTCCACTTCAGCCATTTTACTATGGCTCCTCATTGCAGGATTGCTTTCCTACAGTCAGTCTGTATGAACTTCCCATCTGAGGCCAAGGTTCTTCCTTTGGAAGCACCGACTATGCTGGGATCTGCAAAAAGATACCTTCCTAAGGTGCACAGCATTAGAAGAATGAACCCTCCTCTTGCTCCAAAATTACAGATGAGCTTACTGAGCTAACATAAAGGGTTTGTTTAGATATGTTTTATCTCATGTTTAGGCTTGGTATTTCCCTATTGACTAACAACATCTGTCCCCATCTTTTCATCAGTTCTCAGAAGTCTGTAACTCATCTCTGTATGTCAGTGCTGATATTGGCAGTGATCACTGGAGGAAGATCTGTTTGCCAGGCTCTGTACTGCATCCATTCCAGGTGGGAGTAGATTGGTCTAAGGACGCCTCAAATGTCTGCAAAGAGCAGAATATGTGTCTGGATGCTTCTTAACAAAAGCTGCTGTAGATTTTGTACTACTTGTACAGTGGGTTATGAACTTGGTAATTGAGTCAAACTGCAATAACCATAATTTTTGAGTTGAATAATGGACATTATCACTCAAAGTTATGGCAAGATTCTAAAGACTAAGCTATAAGCAAAACTGCATGTTTTAAAGTAAACTTATACAGTTAGTCCTCAGGGCATGAAAAGGCTTCTGGGTTGTAAATCTGCTGATACATGAGGTTAAGGGATATCCAGACTGGCTTAGTACAAATAAGCACTGGTCCTGTCTCTGTTGTTGGTACCTCAGGAATCTCATCATAGTAGTATTATAGTACTCATACCATTTTCATTTTCCTGACACATACTGCTGCATGTCAGACTTACATAAAAAACAAAGGTAATGTATAATGTCTGTGTTCTCTCTGCATCACCTGAATAAGACAAAATTTACTAAGTCTCAAAACTACAGGAAAAATATTAGCAACATTTCCAGGGTTGGTTTTGTTTGTCTGTCTCAAATATTCCTAAGTATTCTCTCGAATCTATATTGCTTGAATAAAGTTTGTACTTAACAGAACTTCTTAAACACAAGGAAAAAATATGAAAGAATAAATGACAGAGAATTTAAATTTAAAGCCCCCAGCACTTTGGAGTAGTAATTTCCTAAACAACCTAGTTCTATTTAATTATATTTAGCAGTTGCTTATATGCCCCTTTCATACAGCTCCAAGAGGAATGAACTAGGACATTTGTTGCAAAAGGATTTTCTAGTATTCTTAATTAGCCAATTATTTTATCAAAATCTTCAAATATATTTCCTAATCTACTAGGAAATTGTTTGAACAACATAAAAATAAATTAAAATTTCCAACAGAGCTTCAAAAAATAGCAAGTATTGCTCAATTGTTTTGGCTTTATAGATAACATATGGCCAAAGCTTTGAGACAAGTATTGGAAAGGGTTTTCAGAGCCAAGTAATCAATGCTGACACAACACCCCTTCATTTTCCTCACATCACTATTATTTTAAAACAATAATTCCAATTGTGTTATATACAGTGCACTGGAAATTAGGTAGTGGGGTTTTTGTTTTATAAAAACAAGAAATCTTGAAAAAGTGTTCCACAAAGTTTCAAGCAGTAAAATAACTATCAGTCTGGAAAGGAAGTTGCTTTCACTGGCAGCCTGAAATAAGCCATTCCAGTACACACAAAGCTTACAAATTACAGGAGTTTCAGACTGTTGAGCAACAATTGATTTTAGTTTAAAATTATCATAGATTTTTTGAACAACATAATCTCTTCCTGGGAGTGATATATTCTCAGATGAAGGTTATTTGTAAATTACTTTCAGAAAATTCTCAGCCTTGGCACACAACTTATCGTAACCAAAATAGCAGAAGTCTTGTTTGGAAGACGCAGGTGACAAAATGCATAATGAGTCAATACTTTTTAATCAGAAATAAGACTCAGGTCAGAAAGAAAAGGCACAAGGGTATGTGAATTACATGTTGAAAAAGTTACTGATTAAGCTAGACCAACAACATTTAACTTTTAAGACACACTAGGATTGTCTTTCACCCTTATTCTTTATTCCCTTAGTAGTTTTACTAGAAGTATTTTATGGTATGCTTTAGTTTAATCTCAAAATATTCAATTGTGCCACTGCTGACATCCTAAATATCACAGACATCACCAATTTAAGGAAAAAAAAAATCAGAAACCAGTATTTCATACCAGAATATCTGCAAAGCTGTCATCACCTAAAACCAGCAGAATGCATGTACCTTAAATCACTGAAAGCTGTAGTGATACAATTTTATTTTATGAACACATAAGAACTAATGTGTTCTTATACATGACCTCAGCATAAAATACTTCCACTGTCAGTAAATCAGCTGATTTGAGAGAAATTGGAATCTATAATTTAGCACCCTTCAAGAAAAAAAAAATATGAAGAAATTACCTTAGGCAAGAAAATAAGTTATATATTAGTGGATCTGTACTTAACTAGGACATACAGCTAACACATGGGGGAGGAGAGGGCGGGGAGAGAATCAATCTTTTAGTCTAGCACTCACATTTCAGTCATCTGTAGATATCCCTTGAAATTTACCATGAACATTTGAAAAGACTAAACATACATAATGAAAATTAAAATTCTACTCTATAAGGAATGGCCAAATTAAATTTCTTATAAATTGAAAAATACAGTAGCAAATACATAGCAAACTAGTAAGTAGAAGACAAATTTTCAAACCCAGAGCCATATGGAAGGGTTTACAGTGAAAGGCAATTTGTAACAATAGTATTTAAAGAAATCACAGATCTTCATTTATGATAACTCATAAAGTTATCAACTTACTGACTTATGCAACTGTGAACTCAGCTTTGTCTGCTTGGTACCATATCCTAGAGTACTGCTAACCTCTGTAAACTCTGCAGTTGTAGAGACTAAAACACCTAAGAAGACCTTTTAAATTCTCCTCCAAACTTCATTCTCTCCTTCAGTTCATCTGAAGAAAATCAACTTCTGTTTAAATGAATTATGAATTACTGAATTGCACACATGGATGTTCACATAGAGCTCACTAAATCCATAATTAGCCCAGGAATTACCCCAAAGTTAGAGTTATCTAAAGAAAAGCCACACATTTAAAACAGTGCCAACCTTTTACCTAAGACCTGTATTACATTAGTAAGATCCTGAGCAGGAGAGAGGGAATTAAAACAAGAACATAACACAAGCATGTTCTAAGTGCACCAGCTTCCTGCTTGTGTGACTACAAACTAAAATACATCTTTCAGGTGACATGGCTTACTCAGTTCAAATGCACTCTACTGTCTCACCAGGTACTTGCTCAGAAGGAAGCTCCAAACTTCGTGGTTAACTGCAATGTACCAGCTTGTATGGATAGTTAATCACCTCCCACTGAGCAAAGACACAGAATGTCTGCACAATGATCATGCAGACTCTGATAGTTTTGAAAGTTATTCTGAAAGCTTTGAATTTCAAATGGAAATATTTCACAGAGTAATTCCAATGGCTTCCTATACTGTTCTCCCTAATCCTTCTACATTAATTACTTCCACAGTATAATTATGTTCAAAGGGAAAATAGGCTAAAACCAGCACCAAAGAGGAAAAGTACTATTCAGAATTATACTCATTTTATTTAAAAATTCATATAAACTGATTGTGTCTGTATGTGGCATGAATACAAACAGTTGCTTCTGAATTAGTTTAAATAGTTCTAAATTTCACGAAAAAAATACTCCAATCTTCACCTGGAAATAACAATCCTACTGCATTGTTGCTGATGACAGCTAAAGACTTAAACTAACTACAACGAATTATAGTTAAGATCCACAAACTCTGGCAGTGAGTTTGCCTAAACCTACCATGATTTCTAAGCCTATATTTAGAAACACTGGGGAAGACAGTGAAAAAAGGAAGAAACATTATTCTCTGTACCTGGCAAGTCTGAAAAAAGGAGAATGCACTCATTGAATCCATTAGCCAGGAGACGATCCCTCAGCTGTTGAAGTATGGCAACTCCAATACAGAATGGGAAGGAGGAATTTCCAAGGAGTAATGTATCCCACAAGTGAAAAATTTTGTGCAAAGGAAAGACATCTGCATAATGAATAAGCACAATAAATAAAACTCTATAAGCATATACACACAATAACAGAGTTAATGAGTTGCCTATGTACTTCTTTCCTCTCCCATCTTGAGTGATTTGTTTTTTATTTGGGAGCAAAGAGGACTCAAACTGTTTAGGATCATATTTGTGTTCATATGCAGTTTGATTACTCTGTAAATAACAGTCTTCTTTTCTTAATGAATACTTGGAAGCACATGGGTTTTCACATTTCAAGTATGTCAAGAATTAGGCAATTTATTTTTCTTTTAGTACAGTACAATTACGTATTAAGGCATGCGTATCAGTTTTTCACAATAAGTTGACATGATTGAGTTCATCAATAAGATCAGCTTCTTACAATTAGACAAAAAAATGAACAGAATAATGAAAAAATGGCAGAATAAAAGAAAGACAAGGAAAAAAGTCTATTAAAAATAGCAAAATTTTATATATAAAGCAGAAGGTGGCTCTCTTAAAATATGCTATCTTCCAAGGAAACAGTTCTAAGACTTTATTGCACTTCATTGCTTAAGGAAAACACCTCCTTGGTTTTCCAAATATGGCGATTCTCATGAAGGGTATAGAAACAGGGACAACTGCAAGAACCAGGGCTTTACAGTCAAAATCTTTAGAAAATGCAATCAAGAATCTCACATTTAGTTCTCTGACATTTCATCAGAGAAATAATCTATCAGCTCTTTTCATTCTACCACTTCTTTGAAAATTTAAATTCAACATCTGTCACTGTTGATACGACATAAAAAAACCAAATATTTTTTAGAAAAGAAGTTTTTAAATTGCTTTCTAGGCTTGATTTATTGTTCTCTTTAATTAAAACCCACCAGATTCAAAAGCTCTTCTTTTTTCCTAATATACATGCACAAATACAGTAAACTAGTGCTACCAGAATAACAGTGTATCAATGTGCAACAAAAATACGATTATCTTCAGAAACAAAGTCAATCTTTTTCTTACATTATTTTAGTGACATCAGGGGATGGTGGTGTGGTTTGGTTTTGATTTTTAACTATTATTAAATCTTTTTCCAGTAGATAACAGCTTCCTCTGAATATACCCTAAATACTGCATGTGTAAAATAATCCAGACAATAACAACAAGGACAACATAATAACTATATAATAATGTAAAAATAACAACAACTCAAAACCACAGGAGAAATACTGATTATTACCAATTCAGGGCAGAAAGTAAGTTACAGGCACTGCTGATTTTTCCACAACACATTCTTGCAAATTATAACCATCCTACTAAACTACCTATTGTATCAATTAAGAAAGGTTTTATCTGGAAAAATGAGAAAAAATTAAGCTTAAGAAATAGAAGAACATTTAATCAGAGGAAAAACAAGCATACTCACGTGTAAACATTGTAAGAAACCAAGGGATTGCATAAAGCTGCCAAAGGTGGTGATGGGGGGAAGAAGACAAAAAAAGTTTTGAGAACTCAAGTTGTCTATGACAATTGTCAACTACATTTAAAATTGTCTATTTTGCATGAATGCATTTAGAAAGGAAAATAACTGCAGGAGCAGATCTTCTACCACACAACTCTTAGCCTCTCAGAATTTTTTTTAATTCCCAAATTTTTCAAATTAAACAGTTATAATCACCACCCTCACTAGGCTGGTTTGCAAAATATAACCTGCAAAGTCTTAAAGAACTCAAAAACTGTTGCAATTCTCAATAATATAAGCAAAAATTAGCCAAGGATGCCTGAAAAAGCATAAACCAATTTAATATATCTTCTTGACTATGGAAGAAAATGGTTTCACAGAAATAACTAAAAGTTCAAATAATGATTTTCAAGGGAAAAAATAACCACCTCTGCCTTTTTCTGCTATGCTGGTATTTATTAACATGCATACTTGCCAGTGAAGAAATTAAGGGCAGTCTCATTCTCAGTACATGCTCACTAACACCCAAGCATTTATGTAGTTCTACTGTGACCATTTTGGGGCAGTGTCACCCAAAGGTGTCCTGCTTCAGCAACTACACCCCTACGAGACTCCTGCTGCTGCAACAGCTACAGAAAACCTTTAATGTCTGCAAACTTTCATATTCGTGACATCAGAGACAGACTAAGCATTTATGACACCTTAAGAATTTCTAATTTTTCAATGATGCATTTAGCAAGGCAAAGGCAAAGGGACCTATTTTCTTGAAACATCAAACTGCCCAGAAAGCTTCCATAAATTAGGAATGCAAAAGCGAGACAATAATTGTTAAATTGCTGCACAGCTCATGTGCTATGAAGATTTACAGTTAAACATAAAGCTTAATATATTACTTTTTAACTCATAAAAAGTGCAAATTAATCCTCCTATTGAGCTTTTCCTAGAAGTAAACAAATGAGGAGCAGAAAACATAATTGATATTATGTTAATAAATTACTTCTTATTCCATAAACTCTGAACTGGGTTATGACTCTGACTAAATGATTTACACATTTGCTAAAAAGCCTTTTTAGCATAGCTCTAAATTATATTCCTATGCCTTCATCTGAGTGACTGAGATCTGAACCATACTGTCCCTAAACTAAGGAAGGTTCAATGACCCGTTCACCACTTTTAATATTCAGCAGCCTTTTATGAAGCTTGACCTCCAGCCCACCAATTGATTTTAAGTGTTCAAAATCCAAACCAAATCAATTTCTATCACCATATTAATCTTATAATACAATCATACTATTTCCCTGAGTATATCTATGTCATGTTTTAAATGGATGACATTCTAGGAATAATAACATATCTTGTTCCCTGAAATATCCCAATGCAGTGGTTGTGATCAGATAATACCTGTTTATCTACATGTCTGCATGCAGTACCTTGCTTCCCATGCAGTAGGAAAGCAAACCTACTGCAGGGGATATTGTGGAATATCAAGGAAATAAAGTGGTTTATATGGTACCTATTATATAAACCACTTTATTTCCTTGATATTTATAAGCAATTACTGTTTCCTTTTCATATATATGATTAAACTTATAAATGTTTCACCGAAGCAGATCCTCATTTTCTCCTAATTTCACAAATTAGGAGAAAATCCATCATGAATGCATTTACACAGAAACAAACAAGAAAATACATGAAATCCGCTGCTTCTCTCAAAACCACCCTCACCAAACCTATCAGCAGTGACATGAAAAGTAGGTCAAGCAATTTAAGTAGAAGGTGTGGGGCGAGCTTTTATTGAAGGGAGGTTTTCCTGTGCCTTTAGCAACAATGCTTTAAGACAAGAGGTGTTGGCAAGCCGAAGAGGCTGTTGATGCTCCTCGCAAGCCAGGAAAGGGACGCGCTGAACAATGCTGCCCTCCAGCGGCCGCCGCCCGCACAGGGAAAAGGGGATCCCAGCCCTGCAACCTGCTTTTACTTGACACTTAACTCTCCGAAGCTGCAAAATATACCTAATGTGTAATCAAAGTAGCATCTGAAGAGCCCGAACAGCCTGAGAATAAGCCACATGTAAAACCAACAAACGCATCGTTTCTTAGAGAGACCTCGAGAGGAACAGCGCCGTAATTATAATTTTGCTTTGCATCAGGGAGTAACACCACCCATGTTCTGCCTCTCCTTTCCTTGCTTACTAATAGCATTCATAACTTCTTCAGGCTTACAAACATCTCCTTGTCTTAAATCGTTATATTTGTTAAAATCAGAGGAAAAACTCCCTTCAATAATAAGTTATACAGAAAAAGTGTAACTTTTTTTTTCTGTATATACTTCAGCTGTACCGTATATTGCAGTTTATATGAGGTGCCAAATCCAAAAATAAAGAGCTTTGGGGTTTTCTTCTGCTGTCTATTAAATGCCTGTTTCTTTTTCTTCCTGTTTGATGCACGTGTGAAACAACGTTGTCCAACAATAGGCGGAATTTTATTTTGCTGAGTTGTTCTAACAACTGTCCCAACTTCTGCTTTTTGCTTTAATTTTCAGTTGTTAATAAAAACTAGTTTTTTGCTTTCTACAGCTTCTTGTGGAGGCGGGGGGATGTGGAGTGGGAAATGCTGAGCTCTTCTCCCTGGATCCAGTGACAGGATACGTTGGAATAGTTAAAAGCTGCACCAGGGGAGATTTAGATTGGACATTAGGGAGCCTTTCTTTACCAAGAAGGTGGAAACACTGGAAGAAGCTTTCTAGAGAGGCGGTTGATACCCCAAGGCTGTCAGTGTTTAAGAGGCATTTGGAGAATGCCCTTTAACAGCACACTTTAAGTTAGCCCTGAGGTGGCCAGGCAGCTGGACTACACGAGCCTTTGTAGGTCCCTTCCAAAGGAAATTGTCTTAGGAACTTCTTTCACCTTCCTGCTCCACATTTGAAAACCAGACACATGTACTTAGCTTCAATCCTATATGGTGCCTATATGGTGAAAATCATATATTTAAAGGTTTCAGAAAAGTGCAAAAGATAAGGCAAATTGAACCACATTTTTAATATTAGATTCTACCTACCTACACAAACAAAATTTGCACCTACACAAACAAAATTTGAAGAGTGATCACTTCCTTCACAAGATAAAAATATCAGCAATTCATTTTCAGGTAATTGTGTAACAGGACAAACAGAGAAAGCACTTCAAGGGCAGGATTTTTAAGATGAAACCCTATTACTGACACCTTGTGTGTATCACCAAAACCAAGCTAAGCTATCTACCTGTGCCAGCAGCTTCAGCACAATGATATTAAGGAATTGCAATCACTTTGCCATCTATGTTAATTGATAGATGACAACTGTGTCTACCTTCCATATTTCACAGCTGAAAGTGCTTTAGAGTAATTAATGGCAATCACTGCACTTTTAGCAACATTGTACACTTTGTTTTTCTTCATTTTCTTCTTTAACATGGTCTGCTGTTTAGGGTCAGAATTAGTTAGTAAAATAATGTGTTATACAGCACTATATAGGGTGGGGAAAAATATAAACTTCCTGAACGTGAGCAAAGAAGAACTATAAGATTCACTGTATATATTATCCCTCTATTTATATGTAAATCACATATCCACAGCAATGTACTTAATCCAGGCACCACATCAGCTAATAATATTCACAACGACTCAAGCTTCAGCAGCGCTCAATATTCTGGGAGCTACGTGACCTGAAGCAAATGAGAAGGGTGCCAGGAACACAATCTTCCCTGCAGCAGAGCCTGCGTTTCAATGATGAAAGATTAATCAGGGCTTACTTTGATAGGATTAGTACTCAAGCACGAAACTCTGGTTCAGATCTCATTACTACAGCGCATATACTTCACCTTGATGGATCCTATGCTGCCTTGTTACAGACACAAAAAATCACCTCTCTGACTAATCTAAAAGGCAAAACAACTTTAACTTACTAAAAAGAACCTGAACCCTGACAGATAATTCAGAAAGGACAAACTCTCTTCAGAGGTTAGTGTTAATTTTAGAACTTGCACGAGCATCCTGGACAAATTACACAGAATTGTTTTGGTCATCTGCAGCCTTTAAAAAATAAGCATAAAATGCACTTATATAGTGATGTTGCAAAATTGCTTCTCCCTCAGAAACTTAAATGCTGCTGTTAACCCTTGCACTTCATCTACCCAAATATTTAGGCTTTCTACAGATAAATACTCCTCCTCCTCCTCACTTTCCTTTCATCTTCCTCCCACCTGTCCTCCTCAGATGTGTGTCATCTGAAATACATGTGGCTTTCTCAAACTCCTCTCTTTATAAGGCAGTACACTGGCTTTCTCTTCTGCTCATTTTAACACCACTGTATCTCCTAAATTTGTATTAGTCAATCATTATTAAATTAAATATTATTAAACATTATTAAATTAACATTATTAAATTAAAAACACTCTCTAAAAATTAAAATATATACTTTATTTTCTGTTACAATATTAATAAACAGTGATAATGAGTATCTGCCAGTCCAAAACTCTGACAAATTTTTTTAGTAATGATGTAAAACAAAGGACTTTCAGAGGCTTATTCTTGCTGCTTTAACTTACCATATTTCCTAATAAGCATAAGGCTTTTCTGATACACTATACTTTGTATTGCTTATAGAAGTATTGCATATAAATTTCTTATTTATGAAATTTGCATTTCTACATCAACGTCTCCCGAGTTATCTTTTCCCATTTTGACCTCTCAGTCATTATCTATTCTTATGACCAACTGGCAATTACCAAATTTCTAAATGCCAAATACAGAATGATATAGACAATATCAATTAATGTAATCTCTATGGCTTTGCCTAAATCTGCTTTTCATAAATATCAATATTTGTAGGCAGACAAACATTTTTATTTTGGCTTCCTTGACTATACACACCTCTCCAAAAAAAGGATGAAAGTTTACTATTCACAGTGATAGCTAGAAGTGAAGCTCTAAAGAAGGCATGGTTTTGCTTTTTCCAAAGCCCATCCTCTCCACTATTTTTTGGCTGTGTTCTTAGTTTTCATTTTCCTCCAACTAAGAGATTTTTTTTTCCAATGGAAGTATAAAATTTTATGTTATGCACCTGTCCCATATTTGAGACACACTCCAGCAAATGACTGCTTAGCATTTTCTAAGGTCTGACATATCTACAAGATTGATGATCATGGACTTTTTCTGTAACTTGAAAATAATGTGTAATTTGTGCTAATCAACAGCATTCAGTTACCTGCAGTAATTTTGCTATTAGCACTTTATGACTACACTAACTTTTTGTATATTAATCCACATTTCAAAAATAAATGCATATATACCTTTTAAGATTAATCTAAGTTATAATAACTGGCTAGTAGTATTTTTATTGTATTTACCATCCCAGCAGAACAGAAAGAACTAAAGCACATAAAACAAGAATCAAAACATTACCATTTTATCAGCATATTCAGGAAGGTCTATTAATATGGAAGTTTCACTTTTGTCAAAGTGCTACTGAAGCAGTTCAGAAAGGCATCTTATCCTGGTTTCCCTCACTTTCCATTTTTTATTTCCTATGGATAATATTTATAAGGATCCTTAGCACTTACATCTGGAATAAACCCAATTTCATTGAGGTGGTTACTCAGCTCTGGATCATGGAATGCAATCATCTGGGAAAACACCGTCAGGTACTCTGAAATGACAAATACAAGACCGTAGTCAAAAACACAAGGCATCACATGCTGCTAGCTCACAACAAAGAAGTAGGAAATCCACTCATTTTAAACCTACAATAAAATAGCAAGTGAATACCACTGCTGTACTCCTCATTACCATTACATTCAATATAGAGGAAGAAACATTTAATTTTTCTTCTTTAGTACTTCTCAGTTTGGATTTTTAACAATGGTTTAACTTGGCACACACTTAAGTTGTGATGCATGCTTTATATGCAAAGTTAAAGACTGTTAGGTAAGCAGCAAGGAGAAATACCCATATAAAAGATAAAATTTATTACATCTTCAGCCTGGCCTATTAGGTTGATGGGTACAATTTCATTAAGTTGTCTAAATAACACTTGCTTTTAATTGGAAGATAAGCAGACAGCATTACACAGGACAGTGACAGATTTCTCTCTGATTTGCCCCTCTCCCAGTTTTGTTCACTCTGTTAGAAGAAAGCTGAAGAGGCAATAATTGCAATTTTGTAACAAATGATAATTCCTTTTCCTCTACATGCCCAAGAACAGAGCACTCAGGGCGTGGACGGCCAGTCCTGCGGAGCAACAGAGAGAGAATGCAAACTCTGCTTCCAGAAGGCGCTGGCATCTCAATGCTCCACACAGTTTCTATCTACACAGAGACAAAAAGCAGCTCAAATTGCAGTGGGTAGTTAATGACACATTCTTAACCCTTTCCTATACCTTAAAAAAGCAGGGAAATGACACAGCATCTTCCTTTTATGCCTTTATTGTTTTTTGACATACAACCCTAGAAAGGATTAACGAGAATACTGAAAGAACCTTAAAGGGTCCAATCTTCCAGAGTCCTTGATGATACCAGATATAGAACAGGAACTCGGGAATGCCTACACTAATTTGTTTCACAGAATCCTACTGACCTGTATTTCTAACTTTGGCTGATACATATTTCTGCAAAGCTCCTTAGGAATAACATCAGGAAACCCTAGAGCACAGAAGTATTATTTTACGGAACAGTATAACCTCTTGAGAAAAGTCTTTACCAAACTATTAATCTTGAAGTCTAAAGTAGTTGTCTCCAGAGGAAAGTATTTATTCTTTCCATCTTTAGACCTTTACTGCAAGCAATCTTTCTTTACAGACAAAAGAATGCAAACATGTTCTCTAGAATATTTTTTCCTATTTTTTTATTCAGTTCATAACACCTCTTACCCATTGTCTTACACACATAAACTCTCCTAACCCTGGCATTCTCCTCTTAGATTAACTCTCTCCCAATTATCTAATATGTAAATGCTTTTAAAGTTTTGTTAATCAGTTCTTAATTACCTTTCTTGAAGACAAAAATGGCAGACACTTTAAAGCTGACAAGTTTCACAAGAAATATATCAACAAGCTTATTTAAAAGAAATACAAGGACCGCAAGCCCTGCTGATACTCAGTATTCAATAAACATTCATAACTGCTTGCAATTAAAAACATTAATTACCACCTGTTTCTTTTAATTACTAATGGCTTTTGAAACAGCTTCTTTTGTTTTTTAAAGACTGCCTGGAAGACAAATTATCTTTCCAACACAGACTGCCAAGGTGACTTTCTAGGTGGAGAAAATTCCTTTCTCATGTTTCCATGAAATTTAAAATAACTTTTCAATTAGAACAGACATTCCTAGCTATTGTTTTAATTTATCTAAGTTACCTATATACTTGTTGAAGGCTGAACTACGGAACATTATTCCCCAGGGTTTTCCAACTCCTGACCTGTAATGAATGACATCATCTGTTCAATAAGAAATTCCCTTTGAATCCCTATTTTCATGAATACATTAACTTTCATTTTCTGAAGAACCCCTAGTTTGTACTGTTCTTCTTCATTTTCACTTATTGTAAAACAGCTCCTCTAACAGGATGACTTTGATCACCTGAAAGGTAAGCCTTTACAATGTGACACTAGAAAGACTATTTAGTGCTTTCACAACTTTGCAGGATGGACTGACTCTTACCCTAGATATTACAGAGAACACTTTAGTGTTGTGTGCTCTTCTTGATTTTTTCTCCTGTCTGAATCCTTAACATTCCAAAATTTTCTTGCACACTTACATGATTTTAACTGCATCCCAATTTTTCAATGCCTTGAAAACGTGTATTTACATATCCAGAGACAACTCTACTTCTCTTAGAACTACACCAAATAAAGGGAACGACTTACCTTGAATAACATGAGAATTATCCTTCAGAAAGAAGTTATACAAATACTTTGGAATAAAAGCAGACATGCAGGCATATGCCAGAGCTGAAAGAATTTTAAAAAACAGATGCAATGTCAGAGGCAAAATTTAATTACACCTTAAAAAGTTCATTTTAACCAGATAATATACATACTTAAATCAATCTGTACACAAAAATGATTGCATGCACAGGTATAATAGGAATTATCATCCTAAAAAACTAGTTTTCCCACACAGAGACCTTATGTAAAGAAAGCCAAGTACAAGACAATAAAAGCTTGGACTACACCTGTTATGAACAAATCACATTCTAAGAAGATAAAGGTTATATATCTAAAGCTGATCTGAAACTTTCAGGCAAAACTACCATCAGCTTTTCTGAACAAAGCTGGTGTGACAGTTTAACACTTAGGTTAGCAAATAATACATTCACCTTAAGCAAGGCTGAACTACAGCTTCACTGTACAAGTGCTACAGCAGCATTTCTTCCTTTTTCTATTCAAGATTATTTGTGCTTTTTAAAATATAACATTATGATGCCTGGCAATAAACAGTACTTTAACCCCTGCTTGAAGAGCAGTACACCACATGCAGTTTTCAAAACTCCAACCATTTCTTTTGACCTGTGGCAACAAGAGCTTTAAAATTCCTTTGTAGATACAGAAACTTTCCATCTCTAACCGGATTCACACATCTGTCTACGCATAGATACAGATGAGAGACTGTGCTTTTCTTCGCACTCTGCAGAAAAAGGTACTCACCTTCATTGTTAAAATTCAAGTATAGAAATGGTGCACAAAGAGAGTCAAGACCTAAAGAGAGAACAGCCATGAAGAAACACCACAAAAAAGTTCATTTATTTTAAGGCACAAGATGACGACATTAATTTATAATGAAAATTTGCACACTAGATACTGATTCTGCATTATCAGGCCTTCACAAGTAATGGTAAGAACAACTGTGAAATATATGCATGAAACCAGCAAGGATTTCAAATTGTTCAGCTATAATGCCAAATTGATTATTCTGCCTAGGCATCCAAGAAATGCCAATTACTGTTCCAAGAACTCAGTAACTTTTGCAGTATTATCTTGAAGCTTAATAGCAAGCAACAGACTTTTCTTTTTAAAATCAAGTGTCTGAAACTTACGAAGACTGAATATAAAATAAAGAGTGGGGCAATTCCAAATTAAATATAAGTTATTAGGATTTAAATTTGCAATAAGCCATAGGTTCATTCTTCAAAGAAAACAGAAAGGAAAGCATCCAAAAAAAGGGCTTATATTGTGGGGGTGAAAAGCAGGAGGTACTTTTAAGTCAGTCAAAGCTTTCCATTCAATTATCTGCCCTTGCCAACCAATCAAACTCACCTTGCCAGTACACCAAATTAGGATGGGAAACAACCCAGGCCTTCAATACACGTCTGAACTTTGCATGACCCTCCGGTGATGACAGCAGTTCATCATATTGATGGCAACGAGGAATATCAACTTCAATCTGCCCCACAGCCAAGCATACAAAGAGAAATTGGGATGAGTGGGGCAGCACTACAGCAATCTTGCAAGACTAGAGGTAGAAGTCAGCCAAAATATGTAGGTCAGACCTGCTTACTCCATCACTCTCAAAACCAAAACTGACAGGGAATCTAACACACTTGCCAAAGTTTAAAAATAGAGATTTTTTTTTTTCTCCTTTTCTGCACTCTTATTTTTTAAAGGGTTCTAGCCCTTGAAAAAGGCAGAAAACAGACAATAGTTACAGTTTTTTTACTTCCAGACTCATTTTAGGTGGTAATAGTACTTTGCTCTAAAAGGCAACCAAATCAGAGTTCTCAGTGTTGCAACCAATTTGATGGAAAATTTTTCTTTACCCAGATGAAAGGGGCAGTTGTTTGTAATGTCTTTCTGTGTCTGGTAAGAGAACATTTGAGAACATTATCTTCTTGGAGACCCAAATTGCTCAAACCCCCATTACTGTCAAGTATAGCTCACATTACAGGACCTCAGCATTATGGCTACGAGGTCCAACAGGCACAACAAGCATTTGGTAAACCCAGGATTTTAACAATAAATCATTAATATTGTTCACTACACTGCTTGCTGCTATAGAAACAGTGATTATAAAGTAAAAAGGGATTTCAGCTTTCCCATTTTGTAAGTTGAGTACTTGTGTCAATCTGTTTTGCAAGATTTTTGCTACAGTGTAAGGCTGGAGGGCAAGGGGAATATTGCTGTTATCCATGTGTGCTGTAATAGGCAAGTGATGGGTGGGAAAGATCTTCAAATGACAATATCTGGTAACACCATAAGTCTTACTTGTCTGTCTGTAGGAATCGGTGTGTCTTTATCAATGGCATCATATTTTGCTTCTATGGCACCCTAAATGTGGAAGAAGAATATTTGAATTTAGAAAGCCCTCGCCAACATAAGTGCATATGACAATGTACATGCTGATATGAGAAGTTGACTGCTTTTGTTAGGAACTTTAGTTATCAGAAGAACAGAAGAATCCAACAGCTTTGCTTCAACAAAATGATCTTTATTCTGTTACTAACTCAAGACATAAAGACTTTTCTACAGATCTCCTCAGCATGATCTTCAGTCATTTTCATTTGTTTACACAGAAAGCCATGCACTTTCTAGTTTCCCATTTTCAAGTCAAGAGATGCTCTCAGTTTAAATACAGTGCTTAGCCCAGCCCCTGGCAAGTGGCTTTCAGCTCATCTCTAAAGCACTGAATCCAGCTGCCTGTTAATTAATATTGCCAAATTGACTTAAGTAGCCAGTCCTTGCATAAAACCCAAGGCAGGAATATTAACAAGTCCATTTCAATGTTATGGGACAGGAAAACACCCATATTTTACAGATGGCAAGTTGCTGAAGCACAAGAATTGACTCAATTCCTAAGACTCAGATTACAAGCCTGACCAGCAGTTTTTCTTCACTTTTACAGCTTTTTTTTTTTGTTGATCATATTATATAGTACTCAGAAAATCACATCCTAAGCTACATCTCCTGAATAACCTAGGATGTGTTATCTCTAAGAATCTTTATGATCTGCTGCTGCAGGATTGCAAGAAAGGTAAATCCAAAAGCTGGGTAGTCCAGCAAGTCTGTGAAGAGCCTTAATTTCTGGGAAATTCCATTGTCCAAAAGGACTGTATTTGATTGACTTATTCTCCGTTCTTTCTTGGAAGTGTATTGATTGGTAGGTGAGAAAAAGACATTTCACGTGTTTTCTCCTGTTTTGTTCAACTACTGCTGACTGAAGCAAAAGGATTGGCAACTGCATTGTCAAAATATTAAAACTCAAAACAAAAAACCTCAATTAACTACCAAATGTCAGGATATTATTTTCCACTGAAAATAATCAAAATTAAAGGCAGCCAAGTTCACATACGCTTTCTGAAATCAAATAACCTTACAGAAAAGAAGCAAGTTGTCAGAACATCATCTTTATTTGCAAAATTTCATGACTCATTTTGTTTGAAATTCCAGTAACCTACCTGCCAGATCTTTAAACACATTCCAGCTTCCTTGTCAACCCCATTCCTAATGCATCCCACCCCCAGTCAGTACTGGAACTGCTCTGAACACCCTTACCTCAACACCCAACAAGGCAGCCCAGGTTATGCCTCTCAGAAGGGGAGGGATGTCAATCCTGGCTTCTTTCCAAATTTGGTTTTTCTTGTACGGGTAGGCCTTCAAAGAGAAGAGATTAACCACAAAAAATGTTATCAGGTAACTGAAACAATTCAAATCCCAAACCTGGGACAGTCTTTCCCCATATGAAAGCAGCAAATACAAGCTTCACAAGAATTGAATTTAATCCCTAACTGGAAGGCCTGGATGAAGGACTACTGTTTGTTAAAATATCTGCTCTTTCTCATAAATGGATTCATGTGCTTTGGTATATACTAGATAGATCTACTAATCCAAATTTGTAGTATTTTCTTCATTATTTTCCTTTTCGTAATATGTATCCATCTTGGTTTTATTAAACATTTTTAGTTTATCCCTGATAATATGCATCAGCTCTCTCATTCTTAAACAGGAATCTATCTCTCTGCATACATGTAAATTAGGGGCTGCTATTCCTTTATCCAGTATAAACCTCACATTTATAACATGGCATTGCCATGCCATTGCCATTTACTGCTTGGAAATGCAGCAAAGTTACAGGCATATTTATACATATAATAGCTTAATCTATTATGAAATAAAGGATGTAAAATTATTTTCATCAGTAAATAACCAGTATTAGCAGCAGCTCTATTTCCATGTGGATACCTTAAAATCCACTTTTATATTCACCAGTACTGAGAATAATTTGTTCTATTTTTATTTTCAATCTTCTTATACTTCTGAAGGGTTTTTTTTCTTCCCCCTTTCCTACTGTGGTCTCTTGTACCTCTGCTTCCTTTTACAATTATTTGGTCTTTCAAAATCTTCCAATTAACAGACCAAATGCAATTATCCAGCATCACAAGGACTCCATACCTTCAACAGCCTGTCAAACAGGACAATTCTATTTAGCTGGTACTCTGTGTCCCTCTCCCGGATGATCAGAGGAAGAGTAGCAGCTGCAGAGAGCTCATTGCTACTATTGGAATGAGGTAAAGCTGGCTGGCTGGAAAAAATGTGAACAACAAGAAAAACAAAACACTGAAAAGAATTAATAGATGAAGCATTTCTTAGTCAGAAGCAAGAATAAGCTAATAATTTTGAATATTCAACATAAACAACTGATTTCCAGGACAGAGGCTAACAGCCTCGGTTTGGTATCAGGGCCTGAAGTGCAGCATGTTTATCAGCTCTTGACTTTCAGAACAAAGGCGTGTTAGTTTTGCTTTTGGGAGGCAGCTGTGTCTAGCTGTGCAGTGTGCCACTCAAATAAAACTAATAACTCAAAATTCAGCATGTTACAGATTTACACACATACTCATCTTCAAGCAATGGATAAAATGCTTCTCCACCAACATCCTTCAGTCTCTGAAAGGAGAAAGAAAAATAATTTGTTATCAGAATGCTGCTCAGAATTCAAGTGGAATCTTAGTGGAATACAAAAACTATTAAATAGCAATTCATTTGTCAAATTCAGTAACTTGCCTGAAGATCCAAGCATCAGCTCAGTCCTTTGCCAGCAACGAAGCATATTATTTATTCAACAATAAAACCTTTTGCTAATACAGGCTTTTGAAGCTGATGGAAGCTCTTCTGCCTAAAGATACCCGTAAATCTATTTCCACACAAAAATAGTTTATAGGCACCATGGATTAATAGATCTATAGTATTACATAGTCTGTTGTTTCCTCATTTTTCTACGTGAACTTCCTATCCAAGTAGCTGCAAACCAACTGCACAACTTGCTTTTATAGTTCTAATCAGGTCAGAAGTTATGCAAACTTGAATTCCCTTTAGGAAATACACTCAGCAAAGGTGACAGACAAACATGGCTGCATTTTTGACTGAAGTTTTCAGACCTCTTATGGTACATGATTAATATTTAATGCCATGTTCCCTGCAGTGCTCTGTTTTGCAGTTCAGCCCTTAACTTGCAGGCACACAGCACACAGCCTGATCCTCTTGGGGCTGACAGAAGAGTTCATTCTCTGTTCACTCAGTACTGCTCCTCTTTTGATTATAGGCATCATGCTCTGCCCTATAAAATGTGTCTGAAAAACTGCGCAAGTTCAAAAACTTATTTCAACTAAAGCTGCATGGTTCAGTCTTGCATCTTCCACAAAATGAAACTTCAGTATGTAATTATTTTTTGCTGCATTTATAGAAGTAGGCAGCAATATCTAAAATTACAGATGAAAATGTTTTAAAAAAGCCTTAAAAAATTGCCCTCTAGTGAGAACAACAGCAGAAGCTGCAGTATGTATTATGTTTAAAATAGATGTTGCATATTTTTAACCTCTCTCCTGCCTTGCAAGCCCCACTGATCAACTGAAGAAAATAACACAGTTCTTTGGTCTGCCTTGATGCATTTGTGTGAAGCAGTACAAAGTTCTACTGAACAAATGTGTTTACACAGTGTTTGACACACTACCTCCAATATTAAGGTGGCAGAGTCAGGAGTCACCTTCTCTTTTGCCCTAACCCTTGTATTATGAAAAGGGTTTTCCAAAAAAAAACCTGACAGAGTTGAATTTTCTACTATAAAAAGCAAGCTGCAAACAGCACAGAATAGTTTCCCAATTTGACAGCAATAAAGCTCTACATGAGCAGAGACATATAAACAATGAAAACATTTCAGTGATATATGCAGTAAATCTTGTAACTGTCATTACACCAAGCCAAATCATGAGTTATCATATGCTGATTTCCCACTGAAGATGAACAAAAACTGCATTACAGCATTTTTGCAAAATGCTTTAGGGAGATCTTTTGAACTAACCATTCCATGCCATATATTCCAAAAATTAATAACCAACTAGCAGAAAATTGGTATCCCATGTTAAGTATAAAGCTTTCAAGGAGCTGAAACTGAAATAAATTGGTTTACTTTTGGATAATGTGAGCCATTGACAGACAGTAATTAAAGCACACAGAAGATATTCCCTGAGCAAATAGTTGTACAAATTGTGGAGAATACCAAGTGGTACAGAGCTATTTGCACTACACTGGGACAAAGCAGGTAACAGAAAAAGGAAAGAGAGGGACAGAAGGCAAATCAAAATTACTGAGTTTTTGCAGGCAAAGCAATTTAATAGCACAAACCAGAACCTGACTTGGACACTAAGAAGCATTCTCTTGGAATTAGTGGCACTTCTGTTGGTAGAAACAGCAGTAGGAGCTGCTGCTACATATTCCTTTTAAACAAATGTTTCTGCAGAGAAGAATGTAAGAAATGTACAATATCATTCATTCTTACATTTCGGAGCTGGCACAGAGACAAAGTCACAGTTGTGTCATCTAGGAGGGAACTTCTATCTCGTCCTTGCCCAAAGCTCTCACCATCTTCTAATAAAAAGCTTCAAAAACAAGAATAAAAAAATCAGGTCATCTTATAACATGGGACTTGAGCTAGGAAAAAAATCTCTTACATCAATACGTTTCCTCTTTAAAACAAAGTATTAGGTGTTAGAAGTATACTCTTTTGACTCTGCATGGCATGAAACCTGCTATCTAGGGAATGTACAATAAACTTAAATTATTCAGACCGCTTTTCCTGTAAAATGTCACATTTTAGGTTTTTCATAACTTTGCACATAAAGAAAGAGTTATGAGATATGGGATTAATAATCCCTTTTATTCCTTGATCTTGCACAGAACTGGCCTGTCATTTATTGTGAAAAGTAAAAATAAAATATTATTATCATATGAAAGGCATGACAAAAAATCCCAGGTGAAAGTCTGACCTTTTCTGTTGCAGTCCATCTAAGGATACAAATGTATCCAAGATAGAGTGTACAGAAATTTTCCATTATTATGGTATTTTTAAAATAGACCACATGAAACAGATTTTCAGAATTTAACCTAGCATTCTCAGTGTCATTTAGAGATAGATTGCATTTAACTCCTCATCTTCAAGATAGACAGTATGGTGGAAAATATTTGTTGCCCAAAATTGAAAAGTACCTGCATTCACCTATGGGCAAAGAAATAAGCAACCCTTCAAAAATCTCACACTAATTTTGATAACAAAATAACACTTAAAATCTATTTCCACCATTTTTCTTTTAAAAGATACTGCATCTTGGCTAAACACGTACTTTATCTGGTTTTAAAACACATACTAAATTGATATATATGAGCACCTAATTATGCTATTAAGATCAGATTGTAGGATTAAAACATTAGTGTTCTACATAAAATTGCAACATGTGCAGCAGTAAGATAAAAGTATCAATCATTAAAATGCTGTTACAGAGTTCTAAGTCATAAAACTAAGCATTTTGAAAAAAAGTAATTAGCTGATCTGCTGAATAACTGGGTTCTCCATTCAGTACTGCTGCTCTGTGAAAGTGAATTCTGAATGTGAGAATAATAATAAATTACAAATATCCCTCTGAAGCACAGTGAGACATTTTTACTAAAACTTAATACTATTGGAAAGTGTGCAAAATTTAGGGACTCCCATTTTAGTATTTTCCACTTCAGCAGCATCTTTTCAAATTTCAGAAAGCAATAGGTAGGTGACAGATACAAAGTATTCAATTAATGCCTTAAACTGGGCAAGAAGGAAGTTTCCTTCTGTTCAAGAATGCCATTTTCAGTGTTTTTCACATGTACAGGTCTTTAAACTAAGTATGTTCTCTTGCAATCACTAGTGTTCTCCATCCATCCATCCATCCATCCATCCATCCATCCATCCATCCATCCATCCATCCCTTTAAAGTGCTTCTGCACCCTTACCTGGGAAGTGTGCAAACAGGTGGCTTTGATCTAATTATTTCTTTGTTGACAAGTTCTTTCTCCAGGTCTCCTCCAGCCAAGCACCAGAGATAATAAACCTCTTCAACTGATCTTTCTGCTAGGTAATCATTATCTTCATCTGTTGGGAGAAATGACACAAAAATAAATTACAGCCTTTTAGGCAGTTTGTATTTCTTTCTACAACTCTAAACATACTGTTGAAAAAAAAAATTGTTCTGCTTGAAAGGTCATAAACTTAATGTGAAGTTAGAGGAAAAGTGATCTTTCCTTTGCAAGTGCTCTTTAAGGAAATTTAAGGAAAGAAGTCATTAAAAATGCAGGTATTTCTGCAGCTTGCTATGAACCACTCACATGAATACCTTGAGTGTGGATTTTTGCTTCCTGTGTGTTTAAAAAAAAAACCAAAACAACAGCGTTTTATGCATAGAACGAAGACTTAAAAAAACCCCAAGTGATTCCTACTGAGTAGCTGTATTCTCTCTTCCCTTCACATACTACACTCATTCTAACAAGGTAAAAGATCTTTGTCTAGATTAGGTTTTCTAAACATATCCAAATTTGTAAGGAAAAAAAACTAATCAGGATTTAAGAGCCATAACATTTTCAACATACTGTTGTTTAAAACTTAGAACTTTAATCTTTTAGTCCAGAATGTGACCTTTTTCACAAAGACTTTGCTTTCCAGTACTTCCAAAAATCATCTTATGTTTTGATCTAGCAGAATTCAATTATCAATAGCAGAAAAAAATGAACTTATACATGCATGTGTCCAAATTCTGAAGGCAAAAGATGACACTGCTTTTGCAACATGGACTTGAATACTAATGCTACTTTTCCCCCTGAATTTGAAGCATAAAATTAAGATTTGACTCCTTTCACTGGCACACATCCCTGAAAACATGTTTGTCCATGTCTCCTTCCATTAAACAACTTATTGCATTCATCTAGTGTTGTAACACTTAACAGTCTCTGTGAATATTTTCTTGCAATAACACTTTATTTTCCTTCCCCCTCCAATGGCATTTATCCCACTACCTGCTTTTACCTTTACATAATTGACTTATGTCTTCAGGTAGTGTTAAATTGGCACACCTTGGAGAAGATGAGAACAGACCAGCAGGTTTGTGGAAGGGAGGATATAATGGGGATACTTCACTGAACAAACTGTCATGCAGCAATTCCTCTGGAGTTGGCCTTAAGAGAAGAGGATAAAACAATTAGAGCAAACTGCTCCCAAAAATACTGCATTTTAGCAAAAAAAAGGTCCCCAGTAATAAATATTAACAAGTATTTTAAATCATATTGGGTTTCAGAAATTTTAATAGCAAAAATGTCTACCAATGTTTTTCAATTAATGCAGCACAACAAATGTGTCTGTTTACAGCCCAAATTCAGACCTCTAATTCTTCTCTTTTAAACATTTAAAAGCACAAAACTGAGAATTTCTTATAAGTAGCCCAAATGTCAGTATTCCAAAAAAGGTTCAGGAACAGCATTCACGAGGCCCTTGGACTGAATACTTGCCTCTTAGAAGGCTGGAACGTAAGGCATTTCTTCAGTAGAGCTATGACATTTTCAGAAAGGTCCTGGAACATAAGAAAAATATGGAAGAGGTCTGTTTATTACTATCTTAATTCAGGAAGACACTTGGCTCATACTTAACTTTTAACATACAGGATATTCCTTTGAGGGCAATAAAATTTCACATCTACGCACATGAGGGTGGCTGTGTGAGACCAAAATTCTGGGGAAGCAATTTTTCTCACCTCCCAATCTTACATTTGATTCAGGGAAAAAAAAACCTGAAAAATTTGCAATGTATGCAGTCTTTTACTTATTTTTTTTAAAATTTGGATATTCTGTTCCCTGCTGGAAGCAATGCAGTACCTGGTCACTTCCTTCTGCTAACAATCAGAACTCTTTCATATAAGGTCCCAAAATATACAGACACTAAAGTTCAGTAATCATTTTTGTGGGTAAGGAAAAGTTGAACTATATAAACCTACACTATCAGAATCTATAAAGTGGACCAGATAGAAGACTTAATTTCAGGAAGAAAAATACTTAATCACTAAAACTTTAAAGAAAATTTATAGCTTATTAAACTACTCAGTGTTAACATTTACTGAGACTGACAGCAATTTTAAGAAACAATATTACCAGTGCTAGCTATTTCAAAGTATCTTAGATATGTACTTTGGACTTAAAAATTTTTCATCATACTGCATTACAGTAAGAGACCAAATGAATTAAAAAATAAATATGCAAAATACTATGCAGCAATAATAAAATATTCTGGGTAAGAAGAAAAAATGAGTTTCACAAACCTTAATAATATCAAGGCAACCATGTTCCTCAGCCAATACAGTTACAGTATCATCTACACAGCCTTTGGAAAACAGAAGAATAAAAAGTTAAAGATTATTGATAAAGTGATAACTATTAAATAGGATAACACATAAATGTTCATTCAAATAAAAAGTACTTAATTTTAGCTTTTTACTGATGCTGCCACGTCACTTGAAAGTGAATTATCAAAATCAGATATGAAAATTATTATAACCTATGCAGACAGAAGCCTAGGAGGTTAAGTAGCACATCTAAGGTAACAGTGAGTATCTATTTACAGGCCTAGTCCAGAGTGTAATACTCTACCAAATAAAGTAAAACAGTCTTTCAACTTATAAATAAATAAAAATTAAAAATAAGTCCTTGGAAGAACTTAAGGGTACCTACGTGAATCTTGAAGTAATTTTTGCCTCTGTTGCTCCTCGCAGATAATAAGAGTATTATAGAATTTCTTGTCACTACTTTATTGAACAAATAATTCTGAAATCAAGACCTGAAGGCCTTTCAGCAGATAAACCAACAACTTGAATTCAGATTGAAGTGTATGAGATGCCTCAGGTACCCTTGTTACCAAATCCCAAAAACAGTCAGAATTTCAGCACTCAAGCACTAGCTGCTGAATGAAAAAGATATTTCTCCTGAGAGAAATTAATTTTAACAGTATTGCTTTTGCTCTGGATGATAACTTAACTGTTAAGGCAATTTGAAAACTCATGCCTTTCCCCTTCCCATGGTTTATACATAAACACCACCAGAAATCAAGTTTTAAAAGCTGCAAAGATAGTCCCACTTCTGGACTCATCTACATTAAGCCAAAATTCCACTTGTGCAGAGATGTTTTATAGTTTGAAGGTGAAATTAGAGACAAAAGCCTGAGTTCACTAAAGCACTTCTCATCTCTCTTTATTTCTTTCATCCTATTTGAGTCCTGCTTCTCCCGTCTTGGCCATTAGTACACAGGAACTGCAGGGGACAGTTTTCCTCAATTCCTAACTCATTTCAGAAACCTCCTGCAACACAAACCAAGAAATAACCATGAAAACGACCATCATTCTTGAGGATGTTTTCTTGTATTTTATTTTTCTTTAATAGTTTGCCCTTACTCTAATATATTGCCTTACTCTAATATACTCTTCCCAAGTTTTTTCCCTGGCATACAGCTCCATACTTTCCCTAGAGAAGCAACACTCTACAAATGTCTATTTAAATCTGTAGATGAAAGATGACAAAGTGCTTTAGGTCTGACCATCATAAGCTGATTAGTCTGTAAAGCTCTTAATCATAGAGCTGCTTGGAAATTTGAAAAATTGATTTTGTGCTACTTACCTAACATAAGTATAAATTTCAATCTTTCTGCTATCTCCAAACTCTGAAATAATTTTCTCCCCTAAATAACAACAAAGTCAAATTACACTTGAATTTGAAAGAAACAGTTACTACATGAAAATATTTAGATAACATTGTATCCCATCTTTATACAAAATCACTGAAATAAGCTTCCACATGTGAATTTTAGACATATCAAAACTATATGTAAGAACAAAAAACCTTATTTACCCCAACCATGGCAGAAACAGTTTCACATCACATTATAGCCAAAATGTATCACTGATAACTTCTCTTAAATGGAACTGCCTTGCAGTCAAATTCTTGTGGCTCCACAGGTAACTATCCTTCATAGTTAACACATATACCAAGTATCCTAAATACTGAAATGCATCCTATTCCTTGAACAACCAGTACTGTCCAGGTAGGAATGCTAGCATATTCTGATATATGGGTTTGGATAATGGGCAGGGTGTCATTAACCCCACATTCAAGAGCAATCAAGTTAATGGAACTATTCTCCCAGAGTCAAAATCAAGAGAATTATTCTATTACATACCATGCAAAGCTCAAATAATATGATACCAAGAGACCACAGATCTGATTTAGGACCAGAAGGCAGCGGCTTCTCACACTGGGTGTGATCACTTGGTTTGCCTATTCCCTGCGCAATTACTTCAGGTGCCAGATATGATGGGTACCTAGAAAGACATAGCAACATTAGAAAGACACAGCAACATCCTTCTGTCCAAAAAGTGTGACTTCCCATTACACAATCAGAATAATTTGGCATTCTAAGAAACTGGAATACTGCCTATTTTATTCATTCAAAATCTACACATTGCAGTTTCACTCCAGTGCAGTACAGAAAAGGTCAAATCCCAATCACTAGCTCTATCATGACGTGAAAGGAAACCTTAGCTTTCAAACTGGTATATTTACATATCTTAGGGAAAACACAGATTGAGTTTCAGCATTAGGATATTAACTAAGTGTATCCTGGACTCACACTTTGGGATGGTGGCAGTCATCTTTTCCACTGATAGTATATTTCCATCAAATAATTTTTGACTTCAAAAAAAAAGTAACAAAAGCATTAAGAACCTATATTACCTTCTACTACATGATTTAAAAATAATATTATCACTTGTTTTTTTGTCAACACTTCAGTATAATACCTAAAAAAGCATGCAATCACGTTTTGAAAGGAAACATCAGTTCCTTTTGGCCATGTCTTTAAGAATCAGCTCAGTATTTAATTTGAAAACAACCTGACACCTCAAAAAACAAAAAAGTGACAAAAATCCCACTGCAACAAAACAGTGGTTTGTAATACATTATGATCACTTGAAAATAAATCATAAAGAGACAGAAACCTTACACTGGTGGGCAACAGAGAAGCACTGATTGTGCATTTTCCTAAATTTGAAATTAGGAATCCAAGTCATAGGGAAGTATTAGTGAAGCAAATCTAGGGAATAAAGGCAAATCTAGGGAATAAAGACTCACATCACAGAGTTAGGCTAACATGCTGGCATGGTACACATTCTCTATTGTTCGTTCATCTCACCTAATTACCTCTTTAGTGACATTATCAGAAGCTTCTGTATAAGGGGTGATCTAAACACGATTTATTTCCTGAAAAATTAAGTCTCTGATGTATTTGTATTGTGTAGCTACATCCTTACCCTATAGGAAAATCAACATCAACACCTTGAGCAGTCATGTGGTAGAGTCCAAATTTAGCCAACTTCACATGTCCCTGCAAAGGGAAAAATAAATGATCAAGAGCAGCAGAATCCAACTTTGGAAGAATCTGTGTTTAAGTTAAAAATGTAAAAAACAAAATTAAGAAATAATTTCAAGCTGTGTTAGCTGTCAGAGGACAGAAACCTATAAAATGCACCTTCTGACATTTCTACCTCATCTCTTTTGCAGAAGTGCACTGCAAGTTAAAGAGGTGTTTATTTCTAATGCTTTTACTTCTCAAGAGCATTAAGTAAATCACTTTGTTTGGAACACATCACAACTTTTTAAGTTACAGCATTATTTTAAATAAATTAAAAAGGCTTAAATACTCCACTGAACATTTTTTCTGTTTGAAAACTGTTCAAAATCCTAGAATTTTGAAAACTGTTCAAAATCCTGTTTGACTCCTGGAACTCCCTAAACATGACCAATATTCCCACAACTCCTCCCTTTACCCAGTCTGTTCTGCATACCTCCCATGAATTCATTACCATCTTGCTCTCCTTGACAATATTAAAATGGATTTTAAACAGTTTTTCCAGGTACTTTATTTTTATTTCTGAAACAGAAAGCTAACACCAAAACAACAAAAAATTAGGCACAGAAGTTAAACTGAGGCCTTATTTCTGCTGAATATTGAATTACACTCAGCCAGCCTCCAGATGGTGCAACAGAGAAGGCTCCATCAGAAAGCTTTCAAAAGGCAGGGGAGAGTTTAGAAGTTTATTGTCTCACAGCCCTCTTCTGTTCTTTTATTGATTTTAGGAGTATCTTAAAATCCTAGAGTACTTTTGCATGTTAGAGCATTATTATGATTTTTATTTGTTTACAAGCATATAAAAAGATACGTGTTCCTTCTTTTTAGTGTTCCTTATTTTCGTCCTCTCCTTTCTTTGCTTTCCATTGGGAGGATCTAGTTATTCTACCAAAACTGAGTAAAAAAGGATTGACAGAGGAGTTATACAGATGGGTTAAACTCTTTAGCTGTTGGTTCTGATGAAGAAACTGCTCTGAGGACAACAACAGTTATTAATTTCTCTTAACTTTTATGACCAGAAATTGTATTCCTCTCTGCCAACCTAATATTCTGTGGTAACAGAATTGACAGATACTTAAATTTGAATATTTTAACATGAACAAAAAAAATATCTTGGTTTCTTAAAAGGCAAGTATCATATCACTATGGAACACAATATTACTGACAGCTAATTAGCCATAAGAAGTATTCATCTATTCAAATAGCTAGGAAGGTCTTGTGAGTAATTAATGATGACAAGTAGACTTAGATTATCACTTTGAGAAGGGAGAAAAAGTGTGGTTTGGAATAGAATAGAAAAATAAATTCAGCAAAACATTTGAAACTTAAGAAATGAGGGAAAATTGTAGTTAAAAAAAAATAAACAAATCAAACAGCTTTCCAGATTTGCAATTTTTTTCCCCATTGAAAGGACTCTGACTGTCCAGTCTCCATCTATGACAAAGCACAGCACTTGCTAGCAGCAAACAAGCCCATAGATTCATTCCTGTAGCTGTACCTTTCGATCCAAAAGAATATTGCAAGGGGAGAGTGCTCGGTGGACCATTCCATGCTTATTCATATACTGCAAACCTTGCAAAACCTCATATGCTATGCATAAGATCCTTGAAGAACTGAAAAAAAACAAACAAACCAACAACATGTTATAGTGAGTGCTTTCCTTTTTAATCAGTAAAAATGTAGTGTTTCACAGCTATTCCAAACAAAAGTGAGACATTTACAATTCCATAACAGTTTAAGGGATCAGCATTGAATATGGTGGGGTATGTTCAGTGCCATACACACATCTTCTCAAAATCCCACAATTTGGTTTCTTCACACTGAACTGGTCCTTAGGAAGTGTAGAAAACACTGACAAAGTATAAAATACTCTTCTCAACAGAAATTCACCTAACTGGGAAATAAAGAATCTCAACCCTCTCTTATTTTTATTTGCTCTTCTTAAGTCTCCTACTGATATTCATAAAAAAAAATAAATCACCTGAACAAAAGGTTTTCAAAACTCAGATAGTAACTACAGCTTATTCAGAAGATAGCAGAGAGGTCTAACTAGACTGTACCTATAGTCTTCAGTCATCTCAAAATCTAAAATAAGGAAAAAAAAAAGGCAGAAATCTGCATTTTCAGCACATTTTGTTTTACAACCTTGGCAGCAACAACCTTACCATTTTTTGTAGAGAAACAACAAAGCTGACCATGCAAAATATTTTGACATAACTATTTATCTTGACAAAAATTACCATTTCCTCCATAGACTGATAGCCTTAAACAGGAGTTTCTGTGAATAACTGATCATGCATCTGCACAGATCACCATAACAGGCTTCCAAAGTGCACTCTAAATAAGAACAAAAGGCACAGACATCATGTCTCATGTCACCTAGAGAGATTCCATTTAACTTTCTATTCTTCCTAATTCTGTCCACTCTCCCTCAGCCATTTCAGGTCTTTTTGGTAACTTTTCCTCTGCAGATACTGGTTTTTACACAACGTCAAAAAATCAAAACATATCTGCTTATAAAGACCTAACTTTACAACCCATTTTTTTTTTTTTTATTTCATTGCTAAAGAAAAACATACAACATACAAGTCTTAACAACACATAATATACAAGACTTCTGGAGGATATTCACTACCTTCTCTTGCTTATTAAAAACTTGTGTAACTGAAAAATGAGAAGGAGAATTTCAGACTGACGACAGCAACAAGCCAACTATCTGACTAAACACCAAAAGTAATTAATTTATTCAACTTCATCAGCTGCTATTCATATCTGATGGAATGACAAAAATTTGTTTTACAAGAGTAAATAGCTAGATTTTGACAAAAGTCACACAACAAATTCTGAGACTAGTGCAACAAGAAATATTGAAAAAAGCCATGACTAAGTTACCCTGGCTGGAGCTATTCTCTAGATTCTCCCTTTTTTCCTAGAAGAGCTCAGTACTAATTCACAATAGTTGTGAATATACACTTTTAAGATAAATTTTAAGCACAAAGGGCATCTATTCTAACATGTCCATGCTGCTGTATCTTAAATCATAATATTTGAAAGTGATTCTCAAGGTCATAGCAATTTGATCAAAAACACGTGGCTAATAACCACAAAACCAAAACAAAACCCCACAACCATCTAGCTCCTCCCTCCCTAGCACCTCCCACCCACAAGTTACATACACCACAGCTGTGTACCTATTAGCTGTGTACCTTTCAGTCATTCTTGGGCAGAAATATGAATATAGCAAAAAAAATTACAAGTCTTCAGCTTTCTTGTATATTTTTTTGCCTTCAATGCAAATACTAGTGATAGTGGTGGCAAACAGAATCCCCTCTCTCATGTTCTGCCCAGTTTTGCAAAACAAGACATGAAAAATAAATGATGGAGTATTCATGTTTCCATAAAGGAAACAATTGCACGTGAACAATTCGTACATTATGAGATATTCTAGCCTAAACATCGCTTCTCTGTTAAAAAAATAGAAGTAAATATGGCATATTAAAAAACCAGAAGTAACAATTAATAAAAGTGAAATTTGGTGGCTGTTTGCTGGAGGCAGGCAGTGTGCTCTGCTGGCACCAGGGGGCCTCAGACACCCATTAATTCTCCATGTTCTCTTGCAATTCATTAAAAAGACATCCCAAAACTCAGGCAAATACATGGAATTACTGCTTTGGGATTCTTTGCTCTTCAAGATAAACCCTATCCATCATTCCAACGATCAGGATCACAGGAGTATAAACTGTTTTTCAAGAGCATTCAATAATCAGTGCTCTTAAGCTCTTTCTTTGCCAGTTAGCTGAAAGTCTGTTTTTCAATAGACTAGCTAGTGTTGAACTAAAATAAATGCAGCCCTTTTAACTACTGGACCTCTTGAACTGCAGAGATATCAGCACCCTCCTTTAGCAGGAGGTGAATAAAAAAAATCCAACAGCAAAAGCACTAGAAAGAACAGAGGCGATGAAGTCGCCAAATGTAAATGTGGCAGGTTTGACACCATTCACACCACACCATGGACCTAAGGAGGGCCATAATAATAATAATAGCTGTGTGGCATGAAGCAGCCTCTTCATCTCAACAGCTGATGATCATGGTTGTTCATATTACAGTAAAACAAATCATTCCCCTGCTTAAGGCAATACTCTAGGATGCAGCAGGTAAAAGCACGTGTGAGATGCACTGGAGTTTCCTAGCTCTTCAAAAAAGACTTGTTTTAAGGTTATTTTCCTCTCCACCAGCAAGAAAAGAAACATAAAATTCTTTGCAAAACAAACACATGTTCAAGAAACTGTCTGCATTTTAATCCTTAGTCTAGATACCAAAAATTTATTCATCTGTAGCCTAGTCAGCTAAGCCTCTGAACAGGGGTTCTCTTTAAGAGAAAGGATTGCACACAGGTATAAAATCAAACTGGTTAAATTCAATGGTTGTCCTGGTTTGGAGAAGAACCAGCCATAAAAAGAAGTCATTTTGTGTTCCTTCATACTAGAAATAATGAATGAAAAGACTGTAAGGATTAAAACTGATACTAGATTTGGGGCATATAACTTGAATGCATAGAAAAGGAAGCACTAAGGAGAACTGTATTCCTCCCTCAGATCCGTCCTGCAAATAGGATGAGGAAAAAAAAGATCTCTACAAGTTGATATGAGCAAGTTCGGCCAACAGTACAAAACCCAGCGTGGTTAACAGGCATGTGCATGGCATTTGTGGGTGGAGAGAGAAGGGAAGTCGACTTAAAAACCCACAAAAAGGAGGATTGTTTTATTACCTCCAGAACTTGTCAGACCAAAAGCTATACCAGACAAATGACTAATTTCCACACTGTAATAGTACACAGGTGGCTGCATTGTGCCTTCACAAAAAACATTACCTTTTCCACTTAGCAGCCAACCTGATCGCCAGTCTATTGAATTCTTATTGTTAAGGACACAAAACCATTTTCTGGACATTTATTCAGGAATAATGAACCTAGCCTGTCAGGAAACAGATGTTTTAGCAGACTTTCAATCTCTTGTGGTTCTGCAAACCCAGTGATGAAACAATCTGATTGCTTAGGAGACTGTTGTCTCTTTTTGGATTCAGTCAGGTTGGGTGGGGAAGAAAAGCTTCTTGGTGCACCCACTATGCTCCCTGATCCAAATGAGAACAGCTTCTGGGCCAGGGGGAAAGGGATAGTACTAGAAGAAGTTGGCATACCCAGAGTCTTACCTTTTCCAAAGGGATCAGATTTTAGCAGAGAGAGTGAGAAAGATGGATTATCAAGAACCAAATAAAGACAATCAGCCCTGAAAACAATCAGGGGATCAGAGAGCTAGCTAAGAGTGAGCATACACACCCAGTAGGGACCCAGCAGTACCTGGGAAGAAAGTGTTGATTAGAACTGCCCAAGCCATGGGTCAACAGAATCACAAGATCAAACAAAAGAATTGCTTTATTTAATAGCAAAAGCTTTAGGACAAAAATGTAGTATGCTGAATTCCTGCTGAAATAACCCTGACAATATTACCTATATATTATTAAGTTTAAGTGGCTAACTTTTAACTTATGCTTTGTGATTAATGGGAATGATAATACAGCTGCTTGTAGAAGTGGGAACTGGACTCCAAGATAGGCTGCTCTAGGAACAAACAATTATTGCAACTAATTATTTCAATTTTAAACAAAATTACTGGTCTTCCAAATCCTAAAAATAGTCATATTAGCTCAGACTAAAAATTATTTCAGACCCACTATCCTTTTTCCAAAAACAAAAAAGGCAGGCATATGCCTAGGAGAAAGGGAATACAAAGCAAGCACATATGAAATTTTCTTTGATATTTTCCTGGCTTCCAACTTCCTCTAATCCAAGATTTCTTCTGGGTAAAACAAAAGTTTGCCTCCTGAGCATCATGTCTGGTAATATCATCTACTAGATCCTGTGACATTCCGCAGCCATCATGAATTCTGTTGGTAAAATCTCCTTGCTATTTTATCATTGCTTGACTCTGCAGCAGGAAAAGCAATTGTGGAAAAATGCATTTGACAGCCAGCAGCATGGTAGTTGCTACATACACCACAGACTGCTGAAGGAAAAATAAAAACTACTTCATGCATGACATATTGAATACTGAAGAAAAAGAGGAGTACAGATCACACAGTTGGAAATCAGATATGGGTGAGGTCAGGAGGCTTGACTCATTAAACTGTCTGATCAAAAAAATTCCAACATGAGAAAAAAAACAATGACGTGATGAATTTTCGGCATTCATGTCAATATCATGGAAGTTACAGGTTTAAAGGAAAATCCAGTTTCCCTCCAATTTAAAGGAAAATCAATGCCAATCCACACACAAATTCACTCCATTATCTTTAAGAGAGGTGCATTCATGGCATTAACTGGAAATACAGCTTCTCTGTCTTTTTTCAGTGCTACAGTGAAATAGTTTAATATGAAAAGAGTAATTTGGTATCTGAAAAGATCTTCCTGTTTTCTTACTGTGTTCTGTCCTACCTTCTAGACTACATCATCTCCCCTTTTGATGCAGAGGCAGCTATTACAGTGTAGGTAATCAGTACATAGTGATTGTGCTGGTTTTGTAATAATTAATTTTTGGTGAAGAATGTGGGCATCAAT